TATAAAAGCAACTAGAATAACTATAAAATTGAATGCTATCAAGAGTTCAACTTATTCTGCTAGGTGCTTTCTATATAAAATACCTCATTAATCTTCCCAGCCATCCTCTGACTACATGGTATTGTTATGCCATATCACAGAGGAGAAAAGTTGATCCAGCCAATATAAGTTAAATATTATCATGTCTTCGCTGCACTGCCTGGATATCTGACTGTAAAATACTTTAATTATTGGTTTATCTACCTTGCTCTCCCCGTGAGTGTGTGGGGTCCTCGAATTGATGACTCTAGCTGCCTTTTTTTGGACTTGTTAGATCTGGTGCCAGGCACGTAGCAGGTAAATAATGTCAAATAAATTGGAAGTAGCTTGCTAGGAAGTCTCTATTTGGAGTATAAATATGAGAAGGCTTTTATTTTTTTCAGTATTGGCTTCCCACTACATCATATGACTCTTTCTGAGGCTTTGTGGAGGTGGCTCCCCTGATGCCCTTCAGAACAAACTTCACTACTTTTCAGCTCCTAAGATAGGTATTTGGTGTAGGCTTCAACAAATGTTTTCTGATGAGATGGTTGAAGAGCACTGATTTAAACAATAATCTAAGACTAGCACTGTGTGGGGCACTGTTTTAGTCATTGGACTCTCTTAGGTTACATGCTGCTTTTCTTTTCTTTCCTAGAGAACAGAGGACAAAACAGAAAGTGGAACGTGAACCCAGTGAGCAATAACAACATGTGTTTATATAAAGCTTATTTGTCATGCCCTGTCTGACCACATCCAATGAATCTAATCACGTCAAATGGATTAATTCCATCATTCTTCACAGCAAGTCACCACTGCAGATACAGTTGTCACACCCAAACAGAGGAGGGGACAAGGCTTTTAGTCCACTGACCCACACAGCTAGGACATAGCTGGCTGGCTCCACTTACCACTGGGCCGTGCTACTTCTCAGAAGGAAGTAGGGACTCCTTGGAATAATTTTGAAATTAAGGAAAGGTTGAATAGCAAAATATAATTAAAACAATTGAATACAAGTTTGAAAAGTTTGAGAAGGGGGAGTCACATACTTTTATATGGGTCAAGAATGAATGTTGTCATACTCTGGCATCTGCCTAACACAGTTTCTCAGAATGTGCTTGTTGACTGCCTCTTGTAGCCACCAGATTCCGCTGTCGCTCTGCTGTGTCTCCTTCCCCCCTCTGCCCTCTGCAGTCTTTTTTAGACTTTCCTACCTTTTCTCTTTCTAGGAGCCTGTGTTAGTCAGAGTTCTCCAGTGTTGTGTCTCTACCTGTGTGTGTGTGTGTGTGTGTGTGTGTGTGTGTGTGTATTACATATATTACATATAGTGTATCTCTCCAGTGTATCTCTCTCTAGATATATTTTATTCCTTAAAATATATTCTTACTCAGAATAAAATTCTGTACACTGTCTTATTCCTTAAATCAACCTCTCTTTCTTTCCTATCTGTATTTATATGAGGAAGTAGGCCCATTCGACTGCAGAACTGGGAAGTCTAAAATCTGCACAGTAGGCTGAAGACCCACGAAGAGTGGGTATTGCAACCTCAAGTACAAAGGTAGCCTGGAGACGTAATTCCTTCTTTGGGGAACTCAGACTTTTTCTCCGATTGGATGAAGCCCACCCACATTCTTCTTCACTGATTTAAATGTTAATTACATTTAAAAAATAACCTTCATAGCAACATCCAAATTGATATTTGACCACACAACTGAGTACCATGGCCTCACAAAGTTGATATCTGAAATTAACTACCACAGACTTGCTTGAAGGGAGCTGGGGTCAGTTAGGCTTGTGAATATATATATATATATACTTTAAGAACGCTGTTGAGGCTGTGGCAGTAGAACCTGGGGGCAGAGAGAGCTTCAATCTGTCCATGCAACTGGATGGGTGTGGGTGGTGAGTTTTGGCCTCTGGCTCTCCAGCCATGGTCCCTGGCTTTGCTTACACTGAGGAAGAAGGTGTCCTGGGCTTATATTTTCTCCCATGGTGTTCTTTGCAGAAGCATGAGCTCACTTCCTCCTATCTCAACTCTTCGAGTGCTTTGTGTCTGGCTCTGGGCACCTGACACTTTGGAACTTGTGTTGTAGATGATATAGGTTTTCTTGGGTAGGTTTCTGGAGGGCAAGGGCTGGCTGCTCCAGGGCCCCAGGTTCTGCTGCGGCTCACCAGAAAACATTTGCAATGCGGATTCTCTGGGATCTTCCTGGGGTAGTGGGCCTCTATGAAGCCTGTAATAAAACAGGCAGGAGAAAACTATGTCTATCATGACAGAGGACAGAGGCTGATGTCGGCTTAGCTTTTGCATTCCTACTTACCTGGGAATCAAAAATAAATCTTCCTGCTGAATTATGATATGAAGACAGCTGTGTCTTCTGTTTGTGGGCAAAGTGTTGCCCAGTGGGGCCATACGCACAGCAGAAGGGTCAGTGACTTTGTCTGAGGGGGCAGAATTGATAGGAAAACCTTGTCATGGTGGGCTATTAGGGAATCTGCCAGAGTGCTTGTATTAATTTCGTACTACTGCTTCAAACAGCACAAAAGCACTCTTTTAGAGATCAGCTCAGACATGGGTCTCACTGGGAGAACATAAATGTCAGCGGGTTTTGTTTCCTTTTGGAGGCTCTAGGAAAGATTCCCCTTGCTTGCCTTTTTCAGTTACACATGCTGCTCTCATTCCTTGGCTTGTGGCCCCATCCTCCATCTTCAAAACTGGCAATGGATCCTTCCCACAGTGCATCATACTGTCTGGCCTCTTCTGCCTTCTTTTCTACTGTAAGGACCCTTATCATGGCATTGAGCCCACTTAGATAGTCTGGGATAATCTTTCCATTTTAAGGTATTTAATTGCATCTACACTTTCTCCTTTGCCATGTAGCATAACATATGCATTGGTTTGGGGGGCTGGGATGTAACATCCACAGGGAGTAATTGTTTTGCCTGTCATAGTAAACTTCTGACTTCTACTTAAATTTCTAGCATAACATATGACTTTCAATCAAAAGAGGTAATCCCTTCACTAGCTTTGACATTTGGTGGTTTTTAGAGAATCTGAGAGAAAAATGTACGCTTAATTTATTAAACTTGTAAGTTTTTTTTTTTAATTTTTATTTTTTTATTGTTCATATGTGCATACAATGCTTGGGTCATTTCTTCCCCCTGTCCCCACCCCCTCCCTTACCACCCACCCCACCCCCTCCCTCTGCCTCCCACCCCCTCGATACCCGGCAGAAACTATTTTGCCCTTATTTCTAATTTTGTTGAAGAGAGAGTATAAGCAATAATAGGAAGGACCAGGGGTTTTTGCTAGTTGAGATAAGGATAGCTATACAGGGAGTTGACTTGCATTGATTTCCTGTGCATGTGTGTTACCTTCTAGGTTAATTCTTTTTGATCTAACCTTTTCTCTAGTTCCTGGTCCCCTTCTCCTATTGGCCTCAGTTGCTTTTAAGGTATCTGCTTTAGTTTCTCTGCATTGAGAGGCCCTCTTATTTTGTATTAAAATTTACTAGTTCGGTAAATCAAGACTTGTTATTAGTTGAATGTAAAGGAAACTTTTTTTTTTTGGTAAGACTGGGCTTTGAACTCGGGGTTTTCATGCTTGCAATGCCCTGCTTGAGCCACACCTCTAGTCCTAAAGGAAACTTTAATGAAAATTTGACCTCTGTGTTTGTTACTTTATCAATTAACATTAATTTAACCCCCAAAGCTGTAAATAGCTGTCAATGTACATGACCTCATGCTGATTTTTATTCTGGTTGAGGTTAAGTGTGCACTCACGAGACTTCTGAAAGTCATAAAAGGAATGTGTATATGGACTGATTAGCTCACTTAGCCCAGCACTGTGGTCGGACCTATGCTATCCCACCAATAAAACTAAAATAACAAAGGTTGTAAGGGAGGTGATATTTACTCAGGACTCAGGATGGAAAGGCTTTCGAGAGGAAGGGGGCCCTAAGAAGCAACAGGTGCCAACCAGACAGCAAGTTAGGGGAAGATCATTCTAGATAGGCAGCCTGAGCAAAGAATGCATAGGGTCTTTATGGAATGATGAGACCATGTGATGCTAGTGGAGTTAAATTATCTCTAATTGTTCTCATGTACCTTTTAAGTCATCTTCTGGTGGAGATTTAGTGGCAGGATCAGTGTGTGTTCCAGAATGAGAGTATCAAGTAAGCCAGCCACAGGTAAGGAGCCTGAGAAGATCACAGCCAACTGAGCACAGTGCAACCCGTAGCCCCATTCCTAGGCTCTTGTTGCCCACTTCTTTTATTTTGGTGGAACTGGGGTTTGAAATCAGGGCGTTGCACTTGCTAGGCAGGCACTTTACCACTAGAACTACCCCCCAGCCCTTTTTGCTCTAGTTATTTTTTAGATAGGGTATTAATTTTTGCCCTGGTCTGGACTGCAACCCTCCTGTTTTTGCTTCTTACTGTAGCTGGCATGACAGGCACACACCATCACACCGTTTTTTTTTTTCAATTGAGATGGAGGGTCTCTTGAACTTTTTGCATGGGCTGTTCTGGAGTCTTGATCCTCCTGATCTCAGCCTCCTGAGTGGCTGGGAATACAGGCGTGAGCCACCAGTGCCCAGCTGTTGACATTTATTGAATTATGTGGCTGGCTCTAGGTACTTTATGTGCATTAGTTCATTTAACCCTCCCAACCTTAAGAGGTACCCTTACAACCACCATTTTAGATGGAGACAGAGAGGGGTTAAGTCAGGTGAGGAAGACTTCACTGAAGGTAAGTGGCAGGACCATGATGTGAACCTCATAGTTTCACTTTTCTAGAATGTTCTTGCTCTCATTCTTCTTGAGGCTGGCTCCTTACCTCTCAGGTTACAGATCGAATAATACTTCCATAGACAGGCCTCCCCACTCAGCCTGCCTTAAGCAGGTCCCCTTCGTTATTCTACACCTTAGACTGTTGCCGATTCTTGTCATAACATGTATTACAAGTTATTTTTATTTACTTGCTTTTTTTTTTTTGGTCTGACTAGAATTCAAATCCCATTAAGGCAGAGACCGTTTGTGTCTTGTTCATCATGCTAGTCTCAGTGCTTTGCATAGGCCTAGCATATACTTCCTGTACTATAAATGTCTATTAGAGAACAAACTGATAGCGACTCCAAAATTCATTATTTCCTTGGGCTGGAGGAGTGGCTCAAGCAGTAGAGCACCTGCCTAGCAATCGAGAAGCCCTGAGTTCAAACCCCAGTACTGTCAAAAGAAAAACTCATTATATCCTAATCACTACTATATAAACAACATATGGAAATACCCATTTAAGCATAATATTGTATTATGGACTCTGGTTAATATTCATTCACAAACTTATTTTTCTATATATCCCCATAAGAATTTTACAATAATGGTAACAAATTTCTGAGAGAATGTCTCCGTAGGCAAAAGATAAACATAATTCGTTATGATAAAAAGCCAACTTAATTGACACACATCAAAACCACACCATTGTGTGTTGTTGGAAAAACATTTATTGCAATTCAGTGTCAAAATTTTTTTTTTACAAAAATATGCCACTGTCTGGTACAAACAACTATAAAAAATCAGTTCATCATGCAAGAAGAGTGTGCAAATAATTTATAGAGGGACTCAGCTCACACAATATTAAACATCTTTACATGTAATTGGTCTAACCTTATGCTTTTGTTACAATGTTCAACTCACTAATATTTTTCATGAAAAAAGGACATTAAAGGGCATGAAATACAACACACGCTCCCTTCTGCTAGGGTAACTGGCTAGGTAGGATAAAGATGGTGTGAAAGACTCCCAAGTGCAGAGCAGGGCGTGAAGCCTTCTGCTGAACAGACTTGGGCATTATTAATTAAACACACATCTATACTCAAAGACAGAGTCATGTTCAAACCCCAGAAGTAATGCTGTAGCAGAGGGAGTTTTGAGCAGTTCTGTGTGTTGGAGCGGCAATCCATTTTTGGCCAAATGGAGCACGGCATAAGCTTAGAGAGACTTTTCAGGAAGCTTTGTTTGCTGAGGTCAAGGACACTTTGAAAAATGCCCAGCAAACAAAGTAAAAAATATCATGGCCCCTTGCTCCTTGCTGAATCCTGGAAAGAATTCTTTGCTTTGGGAAGGTGAGGTTTAGAGGAGTGGACTTCCACTGTGTCAAAACTTCCTGGATCTTACAGCTGGTATTAGAAGAGGAGGAGATGGGATGATGGCTTCAATGCCTCTTAGTCTCCAGGGAGAGGAAAGATTTGCTTGGTTATCATCAGAACCTCAGTTTCCAGGAAACAATTTACTGCTCAACTCTTATCTACTTTTATAAGGGCCATCCTTGTAATTACAGTATAAGTATACCAGGGAAAAATGAGTTTGTCCAAAACATACTGCATACTTAAAAATGTGTTTTGAGACAGAGTCCACTGTAACCCAGGCTGGTCTTGAGCTCTTGATCCTCCAGCTTCAGCCTCCCAAATTCTAGGATTAGAGTGTGGTTTACTTTAGAACAAGTAGGTTGTATTCACTAAAATTCTATGCTCACAACAGAGCGAGAGGTCTATGAAAACATTAAATGGCATCTTAATTTCCCCAGTGAGAATCAGGGGTTGAACGGTTTAGAAGGCTTAATAGCAGATGCTCATCATAGGATTGGTCTCCCAGGGCTTCCACACTGAGGGTCTTGAGTATTGTGTGTCTCCGGCCATGCCACAAGGTGCCTGGGTGGGAGATGCGGGATGAACAGCTTAGGCCTCAGGAAGCCCCCACGTTTCTGTTCAGCTCCACCACAGAGTCCATGGTGGGGGGAGCTAAGATGCATCCTGTATATATTCTGGACAGGTTTTGTCATCTTGAAAGGCAGAAGTGTCCCAAGTTCTATTGTAAGAACTTTTGTAAATGTCACAAATGTATCCCCAGTACAATAATAATTCAAAAAAAGAAGTGTCCAAGTTCATCCTCTCTAACAACCCCTCCTGGTCGAAAGCCTGATGAAAAAATACAGAGTTTAAAGGAATTATGAACCTTATTTGTTGAAGCCATCAAGGGCCCCGGATATATCAAAGGAGCAATGCCTCTACATTTGTCTAGAGGCTCAGGGTGGTTTTGAGGTCTGTTTCAGCAGTAATGGGTATCAGGCCAGCATCCAGTCACAGGAGATGGTTCACAGACTCAGATAGTTGGAAACATAAAAAAACAACAGATGTCAACATAGAAAATGATGGTAGTTTAGTTTAAAAAATGCACACATAAAATTACAGTTAAAAATCCACACATAAAATATAGAGTGTTTGTATAGCAAGATGTTTTGCTCTACAGCCTGGCAGAAAAATATAAACTCAGGTGCCTATTTTATAATAAACATTGTGTTGAATGCTAAGAACGGTACCATTGAACATCTCTTGGAATGATTTACCTCCTTGTAAATCACACCACTTGCTTAGACAAATGGAATTCCAAGCTAGCTTTCTTCTTCCATATAAAAACAACAGAAACAAGGAGCCTGGACTAATAGTCAACTCCTCCTAGGAAAGGGTTTGCAAGTCTACAAAGATGACACTGTGGCAATAACATAATACACACCCATCACCTTATTTCATAGCTGCAAGTATGTGAGTTTTTGGAAGTATAAACCCTATCCATTTAAATATATCTACTGCATGCCACCTCAATCTGAAATTAATCATCACTAATCAAATATCTTCTCACAACTGACACACTGGGGATGCTTTTACCTTGCAACTTTTGTTCCTTTCTGCCACCTGCCCTCTCATTCAACTGATGGACCTGCTCAAAGTAACAGCATGGAATAATGAAGTACTCTAGTTCAAAGTGTCACTGGACTTTTCTTCTGGATCTTGCTATAAAATGAGGACTCCTAAACCTCACAGATTTTCCTTTTCATGAGTTCTGGGCCCTCCTCTCAGGACACTAGGCTTACTGCCTATGAACTTTTGAGCTAGCATCCCTGTGGATTTGTATATGTTGCTTGATCAGGACCCTTTCCTTCTCCCGAAGTTTGAATTATTTCCTAATGGACATCAGTATCTAGTTCTGCTTTACAAGGTGCAGGGCAGGAGTAGGATAGTAAGGACAGAACAACATCCTGTCTCTTCCAACAATTTCTATCCCCCTGCCCTTCCTAGCTTTTACACCACATTTTCTGATAGAGTGTCTGAATTTTTGTTTTTTGAGGGGTCAGGTAGTCTGGGTGGGTGTGCCAAAAGGAATTCTATAGACTCTGAATGCCTTAGCAAGAATTTTCTTTGTAACTCTCTTTACTTATAGCCGTAACAGAAATCACATGGCCTATAGGACACAGATATTCTGCCTACTCTACTCTTTCCACCATCCCCAAACAAACCATAGATAGCATCAAAGACACACCATTTCTATTCCTTTCCCTCTCCCTCTTCACCTGCCATTTCCTTCCTTATTCTTAAATGAAAAAGACCCATACATGTTGGTTTCTTCAAGCCCATCCTTAAAACATTTTCTCAACTTTGTCACATACCACATCCAGCAACACCAAAGGACATGGGGAGAGTTTGTAGGCACCATCTTGGTCAATATTTCAGAAAGCTGTAACTTCATCCCTTGGGGTGGTGTTCATTTTGGGTATGATGTAAAACCATGTGCATCAACTGACACTCTCTGGGAGACTGATTTGCCAGTACAAAGCAGGTGATGTTTCTGAGATAGCACCCCCCAAGGTGCCCAAGGACTTCCATTTCCAGGACTGAGCTGAGGTTGGTGGAAAGATATGGAAGACCATGAACCCCTAACTCTGTAAGTGTCACCCAGAGCCAAAGTTTCCAAAACTTTCCATAGCAATGGAAGATCCACCCCACACCTTTCAGGAAGGTATCTGAGAGAACCTTAAAATTATAGGAAAAGTGGCTTTTTATTTAATTGCCTAAACCTTGCATTCTGAATGTTAAATTGACACAGGGAGAAAAGTTAAAAACAAAAACAAACAACAAAAAACCTAAAAAACTAAAACACCACCACCAATAACATAAAAACAAACCCCTAGCTATGACAATGTTTTGTGGCCCTCCAAAGCTCAAACTTACTCAGCAAAATCTAATTCCTTCACATTTAATTGTTCTCATTAGGAAAATTTTAATTCAATTTAATTCCTGTTCTTCTCAGGGGGATGGTAATGAAAGAAGTATTGAGAAATCCTGGAACAAGCACAAACATTGCTAAATGAGGAGCACTGGAGAGCTTACATCTCTTCAGAATGCTGACACGCTCCTTCTGTATTATTATTGAAGGAAGGGCACAAGGAGGTGTTAAGTCACTAGATGTCCCTTGCCTCACTTCTGTACATGCTCAGCCGTCTTTCCCCTCCTTCAAGGGTCACCTCAAAGGTGACTCCAGGGTACTGGTCCTCAACATGAATGTGGACCAAATTCCCATTTCTGCTTCACTTGTCACAGGCACAGAGGGTGGCATTTTTATTTGGTGGTGGTGGTGGTGGGAAAGGCAAATACAACTGCAAATGTATGTATATTTGTAGAAAAGCAACATTCTATATAAAGTAAATAACAAAAACATTCCCCACCCACTCCCAGGAATATCTGACAATTAACTCATGGAGTTCTGAGATTTCTCATACTTGCCTCACGAGATCCCCAGGTTTCTTGATGTTTTAACTCTCTGGCCCTGAAACAAGTTCATCTTAACAAACTCCTCTCCCTATCTGGCTAGAACTCCAGGCCTTATTTTTAATTGCACTTGCAAAAATTCCAGCTGAGGTTGACTCAATTTTGATGTCGGGCCTAAAGAAAAGAAAGCTCCTCAGCTCATTCCTCCACAGTGGAGAGCAGCAGCTGGCAAAATGTTTAATTGGCCAGTATATAAAATTTGTGTTTCAAGTCAGTTCACAGACAACCACTTATCCATGAAGATACTCAAGGGAGCCTGGACAAGGCTGGACGTTAAACCGGAATAAGGAAGTCTTCACATCTCTGAGGTGTCGAATTCAGTCTTTTCTGTAACACGACTTTGGCAGGGACTTGTTCTTCATTGGCCTTCTGTTTTGCTAAAGGAGTTACAACATGTAAGGAAAAAAGGCACAGGTACTTTGAGCATTTTCTAGGAAAGTGGCAACTCCAAAGAGGGCCCTGTTTGCCTACAAAGGAAGCCTGAAACAAGTTGAGGGTTGCTTGTATATGCTTTCCATTTTAAATCCCCTTTTATAGTGATGAAAAACTTTCAAGAGACACAGACACTGCCTACTGCATAATGCATGTTGTCAGAGAGCACACGCTCACTTTTAGAGGTAGATGAGGTGGCATCTTCGCAGGGTAAGCCTTATGCTCATGCAGGCTTTGGGTGGGTGGTACTTCTTTGCCTTTTCAAAACAAGCCCCAAATCAAAACCAAAAGCCCAAGAATTTCTCATGTGTGGTTTTACTTTTCTTTTTTCTTCTTCTTCTGTTTTGTCTAAACAAAATTTCACATTGTAAACAAAGTGTGTTCTATCTTGTATTTGAGTTTTGCCTTTTTCTTCTTAAGGAACTATAAAGGAGTTTCTATAAACACCAAGAGAATTCCATTTTCACGGCTGACATAGAATTGTTGTCCTTAGAGCCTTGGCTGCTAATTGTTAGAAAAAGTTTATTTACAGTATTTCTGCTTCTCCAGAGACCAGTTCTAACGTGAAGTTCACGTTCATAAATGTTCAACAGAAATTGCATCTCTCCCTTCCAACGTCCTCTCAGTGACTTATCTCAGAAGCTCTGAGCCAATGTCTAAAATGTACACTATTTACAAACGAAGTATCCAAACTCCCAGCCAGCCAATGAGCAGGGGGCTCTTGTGAACTCTTGTTATGTGCTGGGATTCAGAACTTGAACAAGTTGATAAAGTCCTGGGGTGAAAGTGAGACAGAGCAGCTCTCCGGGTTGTTGGCTGTGCACGGATGGTCGGTGCCCTGGAAAGGAGTATGGTCATTAGGTTTGAGTTCTCAGAGGCAACTCACTGAATTTTGGCACTGTAAGACACTGCTCAATTTCAAAAACAATTTTCTGTCAAGAATGCCACAGCACAGGAAAAACGAAAGAGCTCTGTGTTTTCCTGTGTGTGTACCCATGCACACAGAGATAGGAGAATTTAAAGATGAAAGGGTCACAGAGAAAAATAAGCAGTGAAGATCTGTGAGTTTCTTTCCCCTCTCCAGGCACTCAATTTTACCCTCCCCTGGGGCTGGGGCAGAGATAGGAAGGAGGAGAAAAAACAGGAAAGGTTTTGGCCTCATGTCGCTGGCTCTCCTGACTCTTGGGGATTAGGCTTAGTGTGTGGCAGCCACTTCTGAGACACATACCTTCCAGGAAAGAATGTGACAGTGTTTGCAAAGCTGCAGGGTGTCTCCATACTGCTCTTTCCTCGGGTAACATCGGATAAGCTTAAAATACATCTTCTTCCAATCCAGCTGCCCTTTGTCTGACAAAATTAATCGCTTGCGAATCTAAAAATCAAATGAGTAAAAGTAATTATGGAAGAGTTCTTCAAAGAGGGTAGGTGTGGTTCTCTGTTCTCTGTCTCTGAAAATTTCTGCTTTCATCCTCTTTCTTAAAAAAAAAAAATCTCAGCCGGAAGCCAGCGGCTAACACCTGAAATCAAAGCTACTCAGGAGGATAGTGGTTCGAAGCCAGCCCTGGGCAAATAGTTCCCAAGACCCTACCTTGGAAAAAAAAAAAAAATCACAAAAAAGGGCTGGCAGAGTGCCTAAAGGGCTAAGAGTACCTGTCTAGCATGAGGCCCTGTGTTCAAACCACAGCACTGCTAAAAACAAACAAACAAAAAAACCCACAACTCCCCCCAAAAAAACTTGAATGATCATTTCTAGGGAGACCCAGTAACTGGCATTGCAGTTCTATTTTACATTTGAGCATCAGTGAAGCTGTTGAACTTATACATCTGAGCATGGTAGTACATGTCCATAATCCCAGCTACCCAGGAGCAGGAGATAGGAGGGTCTCAGTTCAAGGGCAGCCTGGGCAAAAAAATTAACAAGATCCTGTCTAAAAAAATAAGCTGGGCACAGTGGCCTGTGTCTGTAACTCCAGCTACTCAGGAGGTGGAGGTAGGAGAATTGTGGTAGGTTGGCCCTAGGCAAAAGTGTGAGAAATAAACTAAAGTCTGAAAAATAAACCAAAGAAAAAAGAGTTGAGGGTGTGACTCAGGTGGTGGAGGGTCTGCCTAGCAAGTCTGTCCCTAAGTTAAAACCCCAGTACCGGGCTGGAAGAGTGGCTCAAGTGGCAAAGCACCTGTCTAGCAAACATGAGGCCCTGAGTTCAAATTCCAGTGCTACAAAAAACCCAAACAAAACAAAAAACCCAGTGCCTCAAAAAACAAAAAAGAAAAGAAAAGAAACAAATTTGAAAAACAAACTCAAGGGAGCATGGTGAGAGGGAACACACCTAGAGTTGGTGTCTGAAGGCCTAAAGTGGACGTGGTGGTACCTACTGTCCCCTGGGTTGTCAGAACAAACGGAAATAATGTCTGGAAATGCACTTGAATTATAAAGAACCATGAAAATATACTTAAAAACTTCTTTTAGAAAGAAAGGATGAGTACCAGTTTATGAACTTTTTGGGAGAACTGTAAAGTGTGGTTAGGTTAAGAATTTTTTTCCATCAAAACTACCAAAAACCTCACACACTTATTTAGAAGCCCCTTAAATCGCTGTAATCCAGGCAAGTGGGGCAGCCCTGGAGGTGGGTGGTCATATCTCATGCTTGGGGAGGGGACCACAGAGAAGCAACAGCCCTGAGGCCACTCTGGCTGCCCTTACCTGCCGCTCTGAGAAGTGGTACTGGCAGAGTTTCTTCCACAGTAGCCGGTCCTCGCTGAGCACGTGCAGGTTGGGGGCCACCTGGCCCAGGCTGACCAGGTCACGCCCATCACTCAGCCTGTGCATGATGTTCAGTTGTAAGCACAAAGGCAGATCAGTGAAGGTGAGGCCTTTGAAGGCAGGCTGCAGAGACGAGGAGGATGATAAGCTGGGCTCACAAAGCAGCCATTCTGCTGGTGACACCCTCCAAGGGCCACTGTCCCCTTGTCCTCCACTTTCAAGCTGGTTGATGGATCACAGGCCACAAGCCGCAATACTCTCTGTCCAAATGCAGGACAGGCTGAGGACCCATAACCAAGATTCACAAAGAGCAGCTGGCTCATGTAGAGTGGCGCCAGAGGCCTTCCCCTAAGTTTCACAAAGCTCTTCACTTCTAACCTAAACAGTCCTCCCAACACCACTACTGAATTCTCCTGCTTCACTCAGTGCACTGCTCAGTCAGGAGGTCACTACCCTGGATGGAGGCCCCAGCTGCCACCCAGCCTCCCATCATGGCCCCTGCATGGCCTCAGGTCCCCTACTCAGGTGTGTTTGCCTGCACCCAAACACACATTGCCTGCCTGTGCACACCACCCTCACCTTCCCCGGTCCTCTCTCCTGCCCTCAGATCCAATTCAAACCCATTTCCTGTAACTGGCATTTGCTGTTTGTGACATCCTCAGGCTTTGTTCATCAATCCCTCCCAGAACCCCTAAGATCTCCTTAAGACACTTTCTGCAACCTCCCTGTGGAGCCTGAATGGAACATTCCTGCTAGAACTTAGCTTCTTGAAGGCAGGGACTTTTTCTTGTTTCACTGCTGTGTCCCTCGTGTCTAGAAGAATACTTGGCACACGATAGGCACTTGGCAGATGTAGGTGGGACAAATAAAACCCAAATGGGGGTGTGACTCAAAATGGGAAAGTACCTGCCTGGCAAGCACAGGTCCTGGGTTCACACTTAGTACCGCCAAAAAAAAAGAAAGATTAAATAGGTAAAAACAGTCAACAATACAATGATCCTGTGGTTGTGTGTGTATATGTGTTTGTGGCATGGGTGTATCATATGTATTATGTTCTCTGTGTGTATATGTGTGCATGGGTGTATGCGTATGTATTATGTTCTGTGTGTGTATATTTGTCCTTGAACATGTGCTTATGTGTTTGTGTGTACACACTGGGAATTGTGTGTGTACACACATTGGGAGCAGCCAGTCCAGAACTCTTTAACTTAAGTTCCACCATCTATTGAGGCAGCTCTATTCAAACCTGAAATCTTTTAAAAACTGATGGTCTATGGACAATACACTTGCAATTAACTGTGAGCTTCTGCAGGAGTTAACCGTACCGTCCTGAACTGACACCTTCAAATCCTTTATCATGTTCAATTCTGATAAGCTCAAGATAGCCTACCCGGACCTTGAAGGCAGGGCCTAATTTGTCCCCCTTGTAGACTGGTCCAGCACGGATGCCCCTGGGTGGCTACTATGGACTGGTGCTGGAGTTGCTGCACTGAGCACCACCCCCTAGAAACATAAGCAAACAATCAGGACCAGTAAGTTAAATACTACCACTGAGGCAGGTGCAAAGCCCTATGGGAACAGTAGTGTCTGCTGGCATGTCATGAACAGTCACAGGATGCTGTCACATGGGCAAGAAGTCCACAGTTCTCCCGCCTGATCCCCTCACTTCCTCCCTTTCCCAACTGTGGGTCCTTGTCCTTCTTGGTGACATTTTTAATGCGATGTTCTGTCACCTCTGAGAGATCACAGAAAAAAAATACAGAATGAAGAAACCTTTCCTTAGCTCAGGGGAAGATGCTCTGGGAATGGATATTATTTTCCCTCAGTCTCACCAATTGCCTCTGTGTCCCCTGCAGGCCAGGACACGCATGTAGTGGAAGGTGTGCAGTGGCAAAGGTCTTGGGAAGGAGAGACTGTTGTGAAGAACCGAGTGGGTATGGGAGGAACATCAGGGTAGACAAGCAGCAGATTTGGCTCCCAGGTGTCCTCGGGAAGTCAGGTCTCATTTTCTCCACTGGATTTAGAAGACTCTGAGTCCAGTTCTAACAATCTCAGACTTGGGCCTCCTGTGTCATCAAAAGCATCTATACCTTGACAACTTTTGTTGCTCAGTTCTACCCCAGGCTGCTGGGCTAAGCGTTTGATTGTTTGCCACATTCAGGCCTCTGTGAGACCCCAGAAGGTCCTAGACCTATTTGTCATTTATCATCTGCTGTTGATCATATGAGCTAATAAAACTGCCACAAGATTTTCCTTTTGTTTCCAGCACTTCAAAGCCTCTACTTTTTTGGTTAAAGCTCCCAGGCCAATTATTACATTAACTCCTATTAAAGGCAAGTCCTCTTGGCAAGAGTGCACTCTTGTCAACTTTTCAAACCTGAACTTTTCCAAAATCCTTGCCCAGACGCCATGCCAAGCCCTACTCCTGATAAATGGTTAACTGCTTCCATGCCTTTTCTTCTTGGATATAAACATGTAACAGAAAAATGCGTCACTCTAGTGAGGCACTGGCCCAAATCCACTTATGCCTATCCTGCCGCACACGTTTCAAAACACTGCCTTGCCCACAGCACTGTAATTTTATTTCATTTTCCCCCACAAAGCAGTTCTCTTAATTTTTTTCCTTCATCCTTTATTATATGAATTACACTTGCCAATAAAATTTGGTTCCAAAGAATTAGATGTGAAAATTTTGAAGGAAAACAAGATTTTGTGCTAGGAAGATACCACAGAAGTCTGGCAAACAGAAAGCATTTACTATGAATGCCACCTTCCCATTTGCATGGAGTAACATGAGCCAAACTGTTAAAATTGTATTTTAAGATATAGTCCACACTAAAGTCATTAAGTCTTCCTTCTCTCTCTCTCTCCTCTACAGAGTTGGACATTTATATGAAAAGACATTCAGAGATTCATGGGTTGCAGCATGGCTCTCAAAAGGACGTAGCTCAGAGCCCAGGAGGGCTGGGGCAGAGGATGTGATGCAGGACAGAGCAAGAGTTAAAATTTAAGCACAGCCTATGCAGACCGGCCTGAAGTCAAATCCTGTGCCAGGTCCTGTCGGTGCCAAGGCCTGGGGAGATTACACTTGGCTCTCTGTACGCTTGGGTTCTGCATCCTCAGACTCAATGAACCATGCATAGAAAATATTCAGCAAAACTGCATATATCCTAAAGCTTTGTTTCCTAAGCAATACAGCATGGTAACTATTTATACTGTAGTAAGTATAAGTCACCTAGAGATGACTGAGGTATAGAAATGTGCATAGGCTATGTGAAATCAACTACACTACTTTATGTGAGAGACCTGAGTATCCACGGGGTCTGGTGTCCTCAGGGGGCCCTGGAATACTGATTACTGAATATCATACTGAGGAGGACTGTATTCTTAACTACTCAGTCTAATTTTTCTCACTCATAAAATGAAGACGTGCCTATCTTACAGTGTTGTTGGGTGGAGTGGATGAGACGTGCTTAGCATAGTGGCCACCAAAGTTTAGCCATTTATATGGATTACGATTGTTCACTAGATGAGTTGATTAACATATGTGAAGAACCTGGAAGAAGTGTGCGTGGGCAAGCCCTTGATAATAAGTAACACTTGACTCATTTACAATACTTACTACACTGAGGTTAGCCTAGCCCAAAAGACCAAAAATCGTATGTTCTCCCTCATATGTGGACATTAGATCAAGGGCAAACACAACAAGGGGATTGGACTATGAGCACATGATAAAAGCGAGAGCACACAAGGAGGGGTGAGGATAGGTAAGACACCTAAAAAACTAGCTAGCATTTGTTGCCCTTAACGCAGAGAAACTAAAGCAGATACCTTAAAAGCAACTGAGGCCAATAGGAGAAGGGGACCAGGAACTAGAGAAAAGGTTAGATCAAAAAGAATTAACCTAGAAGGTAACACCCACGCGCAGGAAATCAATGTGAGTCAATGCCCTGTATAGCTATCCTTATCTCAACCAGCAAAAACCCTTGTTCCTTCCTATTATTGCTTATACTCTCTCTACAACAAAATTAGAAATAAGGGCAAAATAGTTTCTGCTGGGTATTGAGGGGGTGGGGGGAAGAGGGAGGGGTGGAGTGGGTGGTAAGGGAGGGGGTGGGGGCAGGGGGGAGAAATGAATCAAGCCTTGTATGCACATATGAATAATAAAAG